GTGGGGGAGCCGCTGCTCACTGAAAATGGAAGGGGAGGCTGGGCCTAGTTGCCCCACCAGGCAGGATCTGATCTAGGCAGATCTGGTCCTAGCCATAGGGGCAATCCCTGGGCTGCCCAGTGGCTTGTTGCCCCAAGTCCTCAACAGGCTGTGGAGATCTGTGCCTGGACATGGGCAACCTGGGCATGAGAGAAGGTGGCCTGTGGCTACTGTGGGGGGAGCCCCTGCTTTGCTGTTCCCATCGGGAGGGAGCGTGGCAGCAGATGGCTGCCTTGGAACCACTTTCCTGTCGGTGGCTCCTGGCGAGATAAGCAGAGTCAGTGGTAATTAACCCCCAGCATTTGAAGCGTGAACAGCCATTAGCAGAAGGGTTAATGAGCTCGTTTCCCTGTCACTTCATGCTGTCTCCTCATCCTCCTTGCATGCCATGGAGCAAGTAATGGGAGCGGGGTCCTGGGGCGTAGGACTGCAGCTGAGCAGTGCTCTGCGTGTTGTGGGGACAGCACAGGACCTGGCTTGGGGCATCCCTGTTAGCAATGCCAGCAAGGTGCAAGGGTGTTTGGTGTCCCTCATCTGGCTGGTTTCTACTTGGCCTTTGCTCCTATGTCAGAGTCTTCCTGCAGGGTTAGGAGGTTCCTGGTGCTGTGGGTGAGACTTTCATAGTTATTGGGAGGGGAGCACAGTGGTGCTGGCTGTCCCCACACCCCGGAGCCAGGACTGCGATGCCTGTCCCAGCTTGTGCAGTGGCTGTGCCTAAGGAGGCACTCAGCGTCGCTAGGACTTCCCTGGCTTGTCCTTGCCTCTCCATCCTTAGGACCATGCAGCCCAGCTGTGGACAGTCCCCTCCTGTCCCATTCCCATGCTATCTTGGGTCCAAAATTGCCCCTTCAGCCAGAGCTGGCATCCCGTCCAGCCCAGGGGCTCAGGCTGCAGGGCTGGCAGTGGTAGCTAGCTTGCTGGCTGCTGTGGGGAACACCTGGGTGACACCGGGGTTGTCACATCTTTCGCCTGCCTCCAGCCGCTCCCCAAGCTCCCGCCCTTTGGCTGCCCGGCCCCAACA